GGTCTACAGAGTGAGACCATGTCTCGGGGGGAACACATGAAGAGGGGGACTAGAAGAGGGAAGGAAGGAGAGGGGAGAAGAGGAGCTGAGACGGTAGTTTCTGGACGGCAGAGCCCCAATCCAGAAGCACCAGGCCATATGCAGCATAAGAGCCATGCCATTTCTCTCTGTTTCCTCTTTAAAATGGGCATAAGGAGGAAACAGACCAAAAGAGCTGAAGAAAATAAGCTGCTCAGCAGTCTCGCGTCTGGGGCTAGTAAGTTTCTGTTGTTCTGATCTCCACAGGGAAGGATCTATTCTGGGGTCCCTGGGGCCCAACAAGAGGCTGGCAGAGCGAGAAGAACCTGAGAGTAGTGAGGGGAACAGGGTGAGGAAAGGTCCCCTGGGAGGGGCTGGGGCCCAGCCTGACTTTCTGGAACACTGAGGGCCTTGGGGACAGGACCATTTACCCTGATCTGGGAGAGTACACCTGACTTCACCCTGAAGGTGCGTGTTCCACTCTGGGCCTCTCTCTCTGTCCCTGGGGTCCCGTGACTTCATCTGCCACGGGATTCCCCAAAGAAGAAAGCTGTCAAGTCAGCAGCCTGTAGGTGTGGAGGGAGGGAGAAGCCACCAGCCATGGGCCAGCTGCAGCCTCAGAAACTCAGGGGACTAACCCAGGAAGGCCCAAGGGAGAGCCTTCAGCAGCACTCCCAAGGCCTGTTGGGAAAGTCCTAACCCAGGAAGGCCCAAGGGAGAGCCTTCAGCAGCACAGGCCTGGGTCTGCAGCAAGGCGGCTTGAAACCTGCTGGCTGTGCCAACAGTGGTAGCAGACACAGCGAGGAGGAAAGAAACAGGAGCCTAGCCACTCAGGACCTGTTCTTCCCCGCCCCAGATTACTTCAGAGACCAGTCAGGTCTGCTGCCAAAGTCCCTTATCTCGGCCTGAGTGACTGGCAAAGAAGTGACCCTTTCCCTGAACTGTCTAAGATAACAAACAGCACGGAGCCTGTGAGGGAACAGTATCCTGGGAAGGCAGACGGCACTCACAAAACCTGGAGGTGAGAGGCAGAGGAAGGTGACCGAGCAGTGACGGCGGCCGGGCTCAGGGAAGGGGCAGGAAGAGGCTGGAGGGCAGTGGGCACAGGGCCTGACAAGGAAGGCCAACAAAGAGGCCACTGTACTAGCTTCATCCTCAGGGTGCCGAATGGGAGAACAGATTGGCCAGACAAGGAAACCAAGGTTCAGAGAACAGCTCTCTGTCAATGATGTCATCCATCCAAAGGGGGAATGAAGTGGGGCCTGGTGTCTCGGCTGTACCCCGCACGCCCCCCGGCCCCCGCCCTATGGGCTACATTACAAGCCAGGACCTGTAGCCAAGCTGTTCTCATTCATAAGACCACCACCAAGCAAGTTCTTGGATTCCTGTAGCCTGGGCAGGACCAATTAGTGGGCTGAAGCCTGGGAGGCTGAGCGGTACTTGCTCTTCACTGACGGGGATTGGATAGATGGTGGCAGCTAGCTAGGACAAGGGAAGGCAGGCCAGGACGGAAAGGGTGCTCCCTGACCCAGTCTCCCACAAAGCAGCCCAGCATTCCAGGAGCCGGGGCAGTCAGGGGAAAGGGAGGCCTGGGGACCTGCGCAGCCTCCATGGCTGTATGCCTAGCTGCAGAGCCAAGCAGTTTCACTTAAACTCACTGTTCTCACCCCTCTGAGCTTCTCCAGGGCCAACCATCTTATAGACTGGAGGAGCACCAGGAGACGCACACGGCCTTGGTGCCTACGCATGGGAGTGGGAATAGGTGCTGTGTCTGATGGTCTGGGAGCAAAGGCCTGGCCAGAGACCGGAATCCCCACCTCTGCTCCCAGGAGCAACAGGAAACTCAGGGCTACGTGAGTCTACAGCCAGGAGTCCCACCCTACTTCCCCCAGCTGGAGCCCTGGGGCGCCAGACCCTTCCTCCGCTTTGAAGGCACTTTGGGAACTGAAGCCCCAGTAAGCTTCCCTTCCCTAGCCCACCAGCTGTGGGCCAAGAGCCTTCCCTGCAGATAAGGACCAAGCCTTAGAAGACCTCAGTGTGAGTTCCAGAGCCAAGGACAAAGCTGCATGACTTAAGAGTCAGGTCACCTCTCTGAGCATAGGTGACCTCGGTAGCACAGGGTCTGTGCCACCTTTTATGTGTGTTTGTCTGTTTGTTGAGACTGGGTCTCACATGTAGACCAGGCTGGGCTCAAACTCACAGAGATCCACCTGCCTCTGCCTCCTAAGTGCTGGGATTAAAGGCGTGACCAGCCCTGTGCCACTTATTTTAAGATGAAAAGTCTTGAGGGACTCTTCGAGGGCTGAGCTCAGTAGTAGCCTTCTAGAGGAAGCTTGCCTCAGCTCACTCCCTCCCTTCAGACCCCAGTACTATGGATTCATTGTACCTACATTGACCTTGTTTACAAATCACAATCACTGCTCTCACCCTATTTTGCAGCTTAGAAAGGTACAGAGGCCAAGCAACCAGCGTCCTTGTGGGTAGGGCCGTGAGGGAGGTATCAAGAGTAGAGTGAATCTGGGCAGGTGGCCTGGAATAGGGTATCTTTAGAGTGCCTGCATGCGCTGGTGTGCGTGTGTGTGCCTGTGTGCGTGTGTCTGTCTGTCTGTCTGTCTGTCTGTCCTGGAGCTGGAGTTACAGGCAGTTTCAAGACACTGGACATAGATGCTAGGAATGAACTCTGGTCTTCTGCAAGGGCACTAAGTATCTTAACTGCTGAATGATTTCTCCAGCTCTGTGGGGAAGAATTTCTAAACACCTTCCCCTCCCCTTCTTGCCAGCCCCATGAGAAGACTCCCATGTTCTAACGTAGGACAGAGAGACAGGTTTCCTGGTGGGCGCGTGAGGAAGCTAGCTCAGTAAGGTCAAGCTGTGTGCAGCCAATGTCTGCTGTTACTAGAAGCCACCGCTCCACATCACTGGCGCCATGGGCTTCTGCCCACTGACTGTTTAGGACTCCACCTCACCCATCTCAAACAAAAGCAGCCTCCAGACTATACATCAGAGCTCTCTCAGTCCTGTCTCAGACTACCAGCCGCCCTTGCTCCTCATGCCCACATTCTTACAAAAAGTAACAGGCGCTGCTGTCCACATCATACTCCTTACCACAGCAATTCATGCCCTGAGCTAATGGGCAGGGCAGACAGAGAACTTGGTCAAGTTCTGCCACCCCATGCTGTGTGACCTTGGGCAAATCACTCCATCTCTCTGAGCCAGCATTTCTATCTACAAAACCAAATGACAAGGAGAGCTTCACAACTACACTCACAAGTCTAATGATTTAAAGAGCCAATGGGTCAAGATACAAGGTTTCCATTTCTGTACCCTGCCTTCTGTGTGCCCCTCTAAGAAAACCAGAACAATCCCCAGGCATGAGATTCCCTCTCATATTTTTAGGCTAAGAACTCTGGTAGACAATGCTTAAGTTCTGTCTTCTACTTGGCAACTCAGTAGCCACAGAGCAAGTAACTCAACCCCAGGAGCCCGCTTTCATCTGTAACATAAACCACTGTGAAGAGTTTTAGCACCCCACCAGTTAACTGCAGCTCTTGAGGGTCTCATTGATTTCAGTGACATCAATAGTCCTCGTCCTCAAAACAGTCCTAAGATGTCGGCAAGGCAGCAGTTACAGCACAAATGAGAAATGAGCAGTCAGGCTCAATATGCCCAAGTCACAGAGTCTAGGCTAGCCCAGAGTGACCGGCAAGCAGTCACAGGAGCTCAAAGAGGGCCAGTGATAAGGCTGGGCAGGTGAGGGCATTCACTGTCACGCCCCAGGACATTGAATTTGAGACAGAGAACTCACAAGGTAGGAGAGACTAGACTCCCACAAGTTGTACATCTTCACATGCATGCTTTTGCATGTACCCCGGCCCCCAAAATGTTAAAAAGTAAAGAAAAAAAACCCCAAAGCTTCAACAGACTGCTTCCAAGTAGGAGTGTTGGTCAGCCTACCTTCTCTGAAGTGCTGGGCATATGCCACCTGATGCCCTCCCCGCTCTGACACTATGCTCCTACGCTGGGACTTATCCTGTATGCTCAATACCGGCAGACACACAGCAGGCCTCAGTAATGACAACTGAAAGGCCTCCTAGGTGTTTGTGGCTAGAAGAGTCTGGGTTCCCAGTACCAGGAACTCCATTCCTTTACAGCAGCGAATGCCTGCTAATTCAGTTGCGGCCCCACAGCCACCTGAATACCTGCCCCAGAAAGAAGGAACTTCAATCAGTTGCTCAGGGTGTGCAAAGGCCACGTTCAGCAAAGGCAGCGGGCTCGCGCCAGGGCCTGCCTTGCCTGCAGGGCCTGCCTCCCGAGCTGGTGCTCCGGTCGCTTCCAGGAAACACACTCTTCCTCCTGGGCCCCTCCTAGCTGGTGTCCCTATGACTCACAGCCAGGCTGGGCTGGCAGGAGAACGCTGTCTGAAGGGTGACTCGACAGAAAGGCTGCGGGTTGTAACCAGGACCTGAGCCTACCACGCGGAGGATGCGCGCGGGGGTGCGGCCAGGGCAGGGCCTAGAGCCGAGCCCGGTACAGCACACCGCCGGCCCCACGATTGGCCGCTCCGGCCACGGGCCTATGGGGTGGTCCTTGCTCAGCCAATCAGGGGCCCCGGGGAGCCCATTCATTCATAAAGCCGAGCAGGGAAGGATCCCCTCGCGGCCCGAACTGCGTGGAACTTTGAAATGAGTTCGCCCAGTTGGGCCCAGGTTGGGGCTCAGATCCATGGAGGTTAGCGGTGTGTCTGGGTTGCCGCGTCCCCGCCCACAGTACCGGGCCGTAGTTCCAGCACGCGGCGCTGGGCTCCACCCTAAGCAGGACACGCCTGCCACCCGGCTCCCGCCGACAGTTAAGAGCCACCCGGTCAGGAACAAGGCCGTGAGCCTGGGGCAGGTGCCCCCGTGACGGATGCAGCCACGTGCGCAGCGGAGCATGGCGCCCCGCCCCCCCCACGGCTCCCCTTCCCCTGATCGCCGCCGACTCACGGCAGTCGTCCTCGTCGCTGTTGTCTGAACAGTCGTTGTCCTCATCGCATCTCCACACCGAGGGGATGCAGCGGTCGTTCCGACACCGAAACTGGTCCTCTTCGCACTCCTTGGCCGGCTCTGTGGGGGGAAGGGGTTGTGAGCTGGATCACCCGCCCCCCACCGTGCAGCCCTGGCTGCCGATAAGTCCAGGGGGAGACACCGGTGAGCTCCGAGGCTTCAAGCACCTCAATCCGGAGGTAGGACAGGGTGCCACGGGTTCCTTCGCTGCAGGAACGACCGATGGCACGACCCAAGCTTACCGCCCGTGGATATACTCTGCATTCAGACACACTCACACACAGGGCAAGTCAGATCCACGCAGACCCAGCCTGAGGGGAGCCCCGCACACAGGCGACACAGGCACCGGGCGCATGGGCTCAGTGCCCTAGCAACCTGTCACTCTCCTCGGCCCGCAAGGGTCCCCGGAAACGCATTGTAAGGAAAGACTGTGGAGGCTTTCCTCATCACCACCGCTGAGCGCGCGGAGCAAATAAAGCAAATCGTTTACCCGAGACCCTGAACGACTACCCCCCGCAAAGTTCACGGGTGAGGGGTGGCCCAGAGCCCATCCCCCAGAGGATGCCCGGGACGGGGACAGAGCTTCAGTACCCAGAGCCGCGGGCGGGGGTCCAGGGCAAATCCAGGGAGCTGGAGCCCCCGGAGCCTCTGTCGCCGCACAGGGTCCCCCCTCCCCCTGGCCGCGCTTTGTTGGCGGCTCAGAGCTGGCCGGGAAGAGCGTACGCACCTTGGCCGCCGCCGGGCAGCGGATCCGCTGCGGAGAGATGCTGGAGCTGCAGCAGCAGCAGCAGCAGCAGCAACAGCGCCAGCGGCCAGAGCGCGCACCACTCTGGGCGGCCCATGGCGGGCCCGGGGCTCCGGCCGCCGTGCCCCGCGACCCCCGCGCCGCCGCCGCACCTCAGCCCGCCAAGTCCTTGCCGCGGCGCCGGAGCTGCCGCTGCGGCCGCCGCCACCACCACCGCTGCCGCCCGCCCCGGCTCCCCGGCTGCATTTCAAGCAGGTTCGGTGACGCTTGGCGGCGGGGCGGGCTCAGGCTGGGTGCGCGGTCCCGGCCCTGGGCAGCCGCCGCCGGCGCGCGCGCACCCTCCCTCCGTCTTCTCCGCCCCACGCTCCTCCCGCCGCCGCCTCTCCTCCTCCCCCGCCTGTCCTTGGTCTCCTCCTCTCTCGGCGGGCGCCCCACGACCCTGCTCTAGGTGCGCTCCTGTTGTGGGCGCTGCAGACACAGGGACGAGCCAGGCTAGGCCCTGGCTCCCTTGTTTTCCCGCGGAGGTAGCAAGCAGGTGAGAGAAGGAAGGGTGTGGAGGAGAGCTGGGCTCGAGGGAAGGTGATGTTCCAGACGCCGCGGGGAGCGCGGGAAGACTGAAAGCATTGGCAGGGAGAAGCCAGGGTGCGGGGCAACACCTCTCCACCTGTCAAGGCTTCAGATCGGACAAGTAGTTGCTTTCTCCGGCCATGTGCATCTGTGACAGTTAGACACTGTGTGATCCTGGGCAGAGATGCGAGGCAGATGTCTTGACCTTGATGCCCAGACTGTTATCCACATTCAGCCTTCTCCACGGGCCCAGGCAGAGAAGCACGTCAGGGGCCTTGAGGCATGGCAAGGTAATCCTTGCTGCGGAGAAAAGCAGGGACTGTGGAGGCCCAGAGAAAGGATGTGTCATCCCTGCCACCAGAGGCCGCACAACATCTAGGTCCTCTGCTTGGGCCCCACTGGCCTATGCACAAAGAAGGCTGTGCAGCCCCACCTCTCCTACAGAGCAGAGCTTAGATTTCAGCCACCTGCTGGTGAGCCTGGCCCAGCCTTCAGAGGGTGAGATTCTTTAGTGGTAAACCAGGCTCACTAGATGCAGTGTTAAATAGACCCCCTCTCTTCAGAATGAAGCTGTGACTGATGCCTAGGCCAGGAAGGCACGGAGTCTCAAGTCCCAGTCTCAAGTCCTCCCCGAAAAGGGCAACCGGTGACAATGGTTATGGTGACCACCCCATCAGAAAAGAACAGAGACTTAGAGAGACCATAAGGTACTCCTGCCATCTTCCCTTGATCATGTTCAGGCCGCATGCTGGGTCCAGAAGTTCTGGCCACAGTGAGGTCCCTTCTGTTGACTTCATCGACAGAAGATAAGAAAATGTAACAAAACTTATGTAGCGTGTGCTGTGTGTGAGGCTCTGTTCAAGGCTCAAGGCTGCAGAATGGTAAATAAGGCCCCTCCCCGCCCCCTGATGCTTACATATTAATGAGAAGAGAGAGATACAGAAGCAAAAAACAGTTAGCTTGGATCATCATAATTGCTATGAAAAAACAAGCAATATGAGAGCGTGGAGATCATTTGGAGACGGTGATCCTCAGAGGAGGTGACATTTCACTGACCACATGAAAGTCAAGCAGAAGGACATTCTTGCAGAGAGACCAGCAATGGAGAAACACCATGGTAAGCTGGAACCTAGTGACAGGGAGAAGTGAGCGCAGCAGGGGAGGCTTTAGAGGAGCCAGCAAGGCCCAGTCACAGGATGGCTTTTGTAGAGTTTGTCCCAAGCACAATGATGCCCACTATGACACCCTTGGAAGTTAGGATGGAGCCCCTCCTGCAGCCCAGGTTCACCCATCCAGCCTCAATTCCCATTACCAGGCCTCAGTCTCTCATGGGTGAGTCTTAGAGGTTCCTTCTAGTGCTGAGATTTGTGCATGAGGTAAACTTCAGAGGCAGCAGGTAACTAGTCTGAGAGCATTGGCCTTGGGCCCGAGCCTGCCTCTTCCCTCCCTGACCATATGATCTTAGCTGCCTCACTTCTGTGGCCCACGCTCCACACATAAAAGATGGGGCGGAGTGGGAGTGCAGTACCCATCACACGGGCCGCTGTGAGGTCTCGCTTAGATGCAGTCGTGTGAGAGCCACACACAGAGCACGGTAGATGCCGAATGAACACTGGTTAGTACTACTATTATTCAAACACCCTCCTCAAAAACCTCTGATCACTCCCCAAACCTCAAAGGATATAAATTGCCCAGCCCAGAGCTACAGCTCAGTGGGTAGAGGCCTGTGATTCAGGCTACTTGGGAGGCTGGGGCAGACAGGAGAAACACAGGTTCAAGGCCTGTCTGGGCTAAGAGGGAGTTCAGGGCCAGTCCTGGAGCCCCCACAGCAGGCCTTCTGAGTAACCAGAGGCCCGGTTCCTCTCCACATACCCTCCTGTCCCTCTCTCTGCCCCTGAGGACTCAGCTTCACGACTTTTCCACCTTGGACCCTCTGCCTGGAACATTCTCCTGGACTGGTATCTATCCATCCTCGGGCCTCCGCTCTCCTCTAGGGGAGCTTCTATTCTCTCTACAGAAATCCTCTGCTCCCCCAAGCTCCCATGACCCTGTGTGTCAGTCTCTCTGAACTGCCATTGGGTCCCCTCCTGTGCAGGGGCCTCAGATCAAAAGGGCTCCCCAGCCCCTGCTTTGCCTCCGCGGATGACTTCTTAAAGGTGGTGTGACCCCAGACATTTGCCGTAGGACCAGCAAGCCTGCTGTCCTGGTTGGCTCTGGGCTGTGGGGTAGGAAGGGCATAGATGATAAGACTCCATCCCTGTCCTTGAGGCACAAGAGGATAAGTACCCCATAGAGCAGGCTCCTCGTGGACATCGAGTTCCCACCTCTCCTCTCAGGCCTGTGACACTCACTTACACAACCCCGGTTGGAGACCAAGGGCCCAGCGAGCTGCCTGGACTCCTCCATCGCTTTACAGCCTGTTCTCCCTTGCTATACCATGGGCCTGTTGCCCATCACTGTTTGCCAGTGTCTTGTAAAAAAGATGTTCTAACTCATGTCTCAAAATAAAAGTGAAAAAGGGACTACTACTAGCCGGGCAGTGGTGGCTCAGGCTTTTAATTAATCCCAGCACTCGGGAGGCAGAGGCTGGTGGGTCTCAAGCCAGACAGTTTTACATAAGGAGTTCCAGGACAGCCAGGGCTATGTAGAGATACCCTGTTTCAAGAAACAAACCCAACAAAAAGACAATATGGGTCTGGAGGTGAGAATTGGAGAGCAGCTCAGATGGGAGCTATGTGGCCCTTCGAGGCTTACCTGGCCTGGAGGCAGGAGGATGGCTTCCTTGTGTGGCTGGTGGGTTCATGCTGCTGGACAGCAAGAGGACTCCACTTGTCACACATCTCCCTGGGACTGCTTGAGCATCCTCGTGGCGTGTCTGCTGGCTTCCCAGGGCAGCTGATCTGTTGAGATCAAGGGACACGGTATTCTTTAAATTTAAGTCAATGTACTCTTAATCAGTACACAAAGCAGTAGGTTTCCTTCTGGTGTTTGCGCACATGCTTAGTTTGGCTGCTCCTGCCTCCCTCTGCTGGTCTCCCCATCTCTGTGCTCCGGTCCCCACTTGCAGCATCCCAACTCCAGATTCCTTCCACTTTCTTACCACATGTGTTCTGATAATTTCTTTACCCCTCTTAACCTCCCCCTTCCCCCTCATGGTCCCCTTTCTGGGTTCCTGGCCCTCACCCTCTCTCACATGCATGTACGTGCACATATATCCACGTCAGAAGCTAGGATCCCTATATGAGAGAACAAGAGGCGTTTGTCTTTCTGGTTACCTCGCTTGATACCTCTCTGTCTCATTCTTTTTCCTGCAAATGTCCTCATTCCATTTCTCTTGTGTGTGTAGGTGCGTGTTTCCATTCACATGTGTGCAGATGTGTGTTTCCATTCACATGTGTGCAGATGCGTGTTTCCATTCACATGTGTGCAGATGCGTGTGGAGGCCACATTCTTCAGATGCCACCATATTGACATCAGCCTTTTCCCGGCTAGGAACTTGCTGGCTGTCCAGAAAGCCCTAGGGATCCCCCATTTCAGCTGATTCAAGCATACAATACCACACCTAGCTGTTTATATATGGGTCCTGGGGATCAAACTCAGGCCTTGTGTTTGCAAGGCAAGCACTTTATCAACTGAACTATTTGCCCAGACCCATAATTTCACTTTTCTATGCAGCTGAATAAAATTCCATGTGTATATCTGTCATATTTTCAAACTGTCAATCAATAAATGGGCCACTGAACTGAACAGATAGTTTTCAAAAGGAGAAGTATAAATATTCAATTAATATTTTAAGACACGTTCAACATTTTTAGCCACCAGGGAAATGTAAACTGAAACTACTTTGAGAGTCTCACCCTAGCCAGAGTGGCTATCATCAAGAAAACCAATGACGACAAAGCCTGTGAGGGTATGGGAAAAGAGGAAGCCTTCGTCACTACTGGTGAGACTGGAAATCAGTGTGTAGGGCTCTCAAAGAATGAAACCTGGGTCTTTCGTGGCCTAGCTCTATAACGCACGAAAAATGTGGTGCACATACTCAGAGTCTTTTCTGACCTAAGTGTAGATGTCACGCCATCATTGCTGCGATGTTGTGTTGCTTGCGCAGGTCAGCCTCGTCACATGGGAGGGGACACAGGCATTTGACCACCAGGAGGCAAAGATGCTGGGGAATGCCTTGCAGGCTGGCTGCCACATCATCTCCTAGGGTGTGTGAGCTCAGGTTAGCATAGCTGAAGCTCTTCAGAGGGCACACAGTGTGTAAGTGGCTGCTCTCATTACTGCTGTGGTCTCTGCTCCTGCCACAGGACCCTGAGCAACCACCGTTTACACAATTGCCGTTGACTGCGGGATCTTTTATAGAAACAAAGACACTCAGCAGCTGAGAGGTGACCGTGGTCCAAGAGTCACAGAAGAGGACGACAATCCCAGCCTCCATCTCTTGCTCCTCAGCCAAGTGCTGTCAGGACACAGCTGGGGACACCACTCCTCCTTCATTGCCCTCCATCAATACTGGGCAGATCCCTCTCTTTCTCCAGTCTGTAGCCCTGAACCTAACCCCTGTGGGTTGGATTAGGTCAACATTTCCTCTGTCTTCTGTCCTAACTCTTCCCAATTAGATGAAATTTCCCATTTCCAGGAGTCTCTTCAACTATCCTCCTCCTACGTCATCCCTCAGGACCCGGGGAGGGTTTGTTCAGGAACACTCTTCCCAGG